ACCAAACAGAATACCCAAGTCAAATATTAGGAAAAAAGTTTAAACACAAACGAGTGATGGTCAGTAAAATAAGCAGACCATCTGTTTCTTATTGTGTGATGATATGTGATGAAAAATGCTAGTTTTATTCAGTAGAGGGAAAAAGTTTTATACCTCTGCTTTATCCCATCCAAATAGAACTCCATCTATACCACATTTTTACCTAGGGCTGACCTTGAAAGATACTTTAAAAATGACTTAGTTCTTTCTATCGGAAATGAAATATATCTATTGACTATTTTGTCAAAGAAAAAAATGTATAATTTTACTCAGCATAATGTTATTGGAACCGTTAGGAGATGTGCCAAATTCTGACACTTTTTAGAATGATTCAGATACTAAAATTTTGCCAAGAACATTTCAATACCTGAGGCATTTTTTTCTGAATTATCCATTTAATCATGCACTCCTCCTTCCTTTGTTTTTGTAGATGCAATTCAAACAGATTGCATTTTCCCATCTGGGGTTTCTGAGCCATTTGAAAATAAAGCATAGTTGGATCTAGAGTAATAATAAAATTATTTAACAAACAGTATGGTGTGGGCACCGGCCAATAAGAAAACAGCCTGACTCTAAATTTTGCTATGCTGTGAGTTCTACCACCACCATTCCTCTTAGAAAAGAGATGAAGGATGCCTCCCACATCACCTCCCAGGAGAGAGGTGCTTTAATGAGACCACTCCAAGGGCTAAATATGTATTCTCTGGAACATTAGGGACACTGTGGACTGGTGTCTGGAAAATCAAAGGTGCAGGAGACAGGCTAATTTATTTGACAGGTGAGGGAAAGGAAGCTGGCAACATTGACATTGGCCAGCACACCCAGAGTTTATCAGGGAAAAGGATATGTGTTTCTCAGGGGCCAGATATGGCCCCTCACTAGAGGGAGCTGGAGGAATAAACACAACTCAGCTAAGAGAAGCTGTAGGTATTGCTAGATTCTCAGGGGCTGAGGAAGAACTAGGGAACTAACTGGAAGAGAGATGCATTCATATTCATCAAGGGAACTACAAGTAGAGATCCGGATCGATGACAGCAATTCTTTCTTACCAACCATGGAAGTGTCAATGAAAGAAAAAATTAATTCTTAAAACCTGAAGTTGGGCCCAGAAATTACTAACCCAGTTTCATATAGTACCAACCAAGTTAAGACTTTTCCTATTTCCCTCACCTCTCCTGCCCCAGTCCTTTGCATTCCAACTCTGAAGGACCAAGACCTCCACCTAATGAAATAGGGAGAAGAAATCAAAGGAAAGGTGGTTAAGGCAAAAAGTTGACCACAACATTCTTCCTAACTGCTCGTCTTCCACGAGCCACAGCTAGGGAAGTAAGGAAAGGACTTACCCTTAAATCAGTTCTAAAGTTTGACTGTCCCATCAGACTGGACATTTTAGTAACGGATCAGAGAGCTTTCCATTTATCTAAGAGTGTAGAGAAAAGTTATGAGATGGCCCCAATTTTTACTTCAGAAAGAATAAAATATAAAAAGAAAACAGCAAGAACAAAAAATTAAATTGCTTTATTATATATCACTCTTCATCCTTCTTTGATGGACTAGTACAAAGACCCATCTCTCTTGGAGATAACACTTTTGTGGAGGAAACAACAAAAAGAAGCAATAAGTAATTATGTAGTAACAGGTAGTGATAGAGAATGAAGGAAAATAAAGCAGAGTTAGGAGATGGGTGTGAGGAGGGCAGTGCTATTTCCCACAGGGCAGCCAGGGAAGGCATTTGAACAGAAACGTGAAGTGACAGAGCCAGCCTTAAGAAGACTTGTAGGAAGATGGTCCAGGCGGGGCAGGGTGGGGGAAAGCAATGAGTGTAAAATGTGAGGCAGGAAGGAATTCGGTTGCCCAAGGATTTTTTTTTTTTAAGTTTGCATGACTGGAATAGGGGGAATGGATAGAGAAGGGTAGGTTATGAGTTTTGAAGATTCACTAGGAGTTTAACTGTATACAGTCAAGAAAAAGGTATTGGACTTGAAGTGTAATGTAAAACTATTTGAGAGCTGGGTTCCATTCCTTTTTTTTTTTTTTTTTTTTTGACATGGAATCTCACTATGTTGCCCAGGTTGGAGTGCAGTGGCGCGATCTCAGCTCACTACAACCTCCACCTCCCAGGTTCGAGTGATTCTCCCGCCTCAGCCTCCCAAGTAGCTGAGATTACAGGCACCTGCCACCAAGCCCGGCTAATTTTTTATATTTTTAGTAGAGACAGGGCTTCACCATGTTGGCCAGGCTGGTCTCAAACTCCTGACCTCCTGATCCACCTGCCTCAGCCTGCCGAAGTGCTGGAATTACAGGCGTGAGCCACTGTGCCTGACCAACTTCCATTCTTACATATTTACTGTGGTTGCTGTGTACAGAATGGATGGTAGACCACTGAGACTAGACACTGGGTGTTCAGTGACTAAATTTTTGAGTCAGCTGCTTCTGAATCACCTAGGATACTTACTGAAAGAACAGATTACTAACCCTATCCATTGCCAAAACCTACTGATTCAGAATCTTTTGAGGATAAGTAAAGGATGCTAATTTGTGGTGATGCTCCAGGAGATTCTTTCATGCTGTCAGAATCAGGAATCACAACCCTATATTAATGACTATTTTATGAGCACCACAAGAGAACTTTTGCTCAGTATCAGACTTATGCTTCCCGTGAAAATGTGCATGCTTTTATCTTGCCTGTTTAACCACTTTTCATCCATCATTAACAACAGTGCAGGAATTAATTGTGCAAATTTTTTGCTTCCAGCTTTAACTTGGACTTAATTTTACTATTTATCTGACTTTCATTTTCCCTTTCCCTGGTATTTCTGTTTATGTTTTAGTATTTATGGATCCATATTGTTTTTAAGACTTAAACTGCCACCTCAGTAGTCTTCAGAGTACTATAATGTACCATACATACATTTAATTTAGACTTATGCCCATTATAGCTTTAAAGCCTTCTCTGAGTAAAAGGAAAGGATTCGCATTATTTTTCCCTTAAAGAAACACTAATGGTAACTTTGTGATTCTTTTACCCATCACTGTCATTCAAACATCACTGGATGAGTTGATAACCAGTATCATTTAAAAATTTTGTCTGCTACAACACATTCAACTGTTCTGCTTTGCTAAATAACATATTGCCTAAACTTAACTGCAAATAAATAATTTTAAAGGCTTCTTTTAACATGTAAAATTTTATAATACTGATTTTTTTTTGTCTAATGCATCATGTAAGTGGTTTTATACTACCTTCAATCCTAGAGAATGTCAATAAACATAGAAGAGCTCTTCATAGATAGCTGAGAAGACTTAAAGTGATTTTGGCTTTTATTACATGAAACAAAAAATTATATTGGATTTTAACAGTAATATTTTAACAGCTTCTAAGTAGAGGCAAGAAAGGAAATCAAGTGTGTACCAGTCCAAGTACCTGTAATAGTATAATAGAAGCACTTACCAACCAACATTTCACATCATCACATGCCGTGCTCCTAATAACAAGGCTTTTTCACTAGAAATATTGCATTAACATTAGACTCTCAAATTGCTAAGTATGAAAAATCACTCACTTAAAAAAAGTCTATTACTTATTTTAGGCTGGTCAAGGTTAAAATGGCCATTTATATATTTCTAACTTCAGCTCTAAGCTCAGAGAGCATCTGATCAGCCAAGACAAGAATTTATTTTGCCTGTACCCAACAGAGTAAAATGATAAGTTAGCCATCAGTTCATCCTTTGCCAAAAAGAAATATCTCCTAAATTTATACACTATAAACCATCTAGTAAATAATATCTGCATACTATACATTTCATATTTATATTATGCACTGTTGAAGGGGGAGAAAAATCTTCATGAGGGTTTATTCAAATGATATGAAATATCCTAAGAACATCAGTTCATTCATATGAATTCTGTACAAAGTACAGAAGTGGAAGTGGAAGTGGTCATCATAGCTGGAGTGTAATAAGCCCCTAAAATGCAAAAGCTCATTCTAAATACAATAAAGCAGTGAAATTCATATAAGTCATTACTTTTCTCCTATACAAAGTCATCTGGTAGTCTTTACTGTTAACTTCATGCTAAAATGTCCCAAGTTTAGGCTGTTTACCAAGAAAAGAAATAGGAAAGAATTAATAGTTTTTAATTTCAGGTTAGAGGAAGAACCCTTATCATGCAATAATGAAACCCAAGCAAGTCCAAGTTTGTAACTGTAACAATGCCTCTCATTAATAGATTATCCAAATTCCTCTATGGCATTCAAACTGTAGTTTAAAACCTAATAAACAAAAAACCACGTAAGAACAGGATCAAGTTCTACCATGAAACGAAGAATTATAATAAAGTTTATTCAGCCCTGAATATTTAATTTAGGAGCATGAGCAAAGTAGAACACACTTCATCTAAATGACACCATTTAAACAGTGCTATAAAATAATGCTACTTAGTAAGTGTGGTGCATTATGTGATTTGAACGATTCTGTTAAAAAAAGAAAAAAAAAAAAAAGCATTAACAAGTAACATTGTCCCCACCAGCTTGGAGCCTACAGATACAATTACTTTGGTCATGTCTTTCCAAATGATTTAGTAATGCTTTTTAACATTGCAAACATAAATCTATCATAGTACTGGAATTCTGATATATTTTGGTGCTTCTGGGGCTGCCTAAAAATGAAAAGGCATCCAAATGAAATGCACTATACACTTATTATACCTTAAAATTTCAGTTCCTAAAACGTGAAATAATTATCTACCATTTAGCTGTCTGATTTAACTGTACATCGTAGTAGATTTTTACCTCTAGGATTTTTACTGTACTTTGGGAAATTAGTGGTAAAACATGTTTAAAAAACAGCATGTGACTATACTTGAGTTCACATAAAATAGCATTTTTACAACTATATTGAAATTTAATCCTTTTTCACAGGTTAACATATCACCAAAAAAATAAAAATAAAAACCACAATACTTTTGAAAATGTAACAATGCATATTTATTTCAGGAAATCATCAGAGGTCACCTTTAGGTCAATTTACCACACCAGAGGAACAAAGTTGTTAAACTACAGCTGTGCTGAACTGAGCCACTTATCCACAGTACAGTATAGAAGTTGAAGTTTTTTTCCCCATCAGGTCTTCAGTTCAAAATACTATTATCATGCTTAATATGGTCTATTTCTTCTCTGGTATGAATGATGTGATCCACCATGTAGGGTTGAAGGAGGTGGACTCTATGTTGGTGGAGGATGTGGCAGTCCTTTCCATGCAGGCCATCTTCTGTGATCCGTTGCATCTGTTTGTGTAAACTGAGGGCTCAAGGTTTCTTGATTTTCAGTGAACTGAGGTAAAAAGTTAGGGTTATAGTGGTGAAAAGCAAATTCACTTGCAGATGAATTACCATTTTGAGACTGGGGAGCACATGGTGGAGGAGAATTCATATAAGGTGGCACCTGGGCAATAATATATCCAAGTGATAGATCATAGGTCGTGGTTGGAGCTGGCGCTTGGCTAGAAACCAAGTTAGGAGTACCTACATCCTGAGGAGGATATGGCATTGGATAGTTTACTGGTGATGATGGAGATGGAGGTGGTGCATAATGCTGTTTTTGAGGCATAATATGACAAGGGGACGATACCACTGGTTGACTTTGATACTCAGGATAATAGTCAGGAGGTGATGGCTTCTTAGCACCAGAATCTGAGTTATTCTGAATATGATCAACTATTAAATTGCCGTGTTTTCTTGTTAAAACACTAACGGTTTCCCACTGGATGGGAAAAGGCGGACTTGGAGATAGTTCTGGGGGAGGAACCTGAAGATCTTTATGTGGCTGATTATGTTGCTCGTGTGGCATTTGTTGCATAGACGGTAGTGACATCATGGTGTGCTGCTCTGGTGGAATATAGTTTAGATGGTCCCTGTCTAGCAGTCTTTTAGGGATTTCAGTGATTTCAGTTCGTGGCGGAGCAATATGAGGACGAACTTTTTCAAGCGAAGCGCTGGTAACTTGTTTTCGAGCTCTCTTATGGCGGCGTTTGATATGAGCCTGTAAGCTTTTCTGAGACAAATATGTTCTCTTGCATCCCTGAACAACACTACACATGAAGACAGAACCTCGTTTATGCTCCTCAATTCGCAGCACAGGATAACTACAGCGTGGACATATTTTATATCCGATTTTGTCATATAAATTAGCACAGTTATAGCAAAAAGCATGCTTGCATGGAATTATTCGCCCATAGATTTTAATAGGCAAATCACATTTGTCACAGAAATGAATTGGTGAATCATCCTTTTCACCTATGATGTTTATCTTAATGTCCCCCCAAGAGTAACCAGGAATTTTTTTCTTTTTTCTCACCAGTTTAACTCCTTTAGAGTAGTACTTCCTGTCTTCATTATATTCACGTTCTTGTTCACCAGCAGGCATCTTGTTCATATTCCTTGGAGATGAGACACAGATTTAGGTTTGTCTACTTCTTCAAAAATGACTTTTAAAGGAATTCTTCTGCTAACATCAAGGCCACGCAACAATCCAGAACTATGAGTGCCTAGTAACCCATTATCAGCGTCATTAGGATCCAAGTTTCGGCTCACAAGGGACCGGGAGTCATGTGCCAGTAACACGTGCGCATCACAACGCATGTGCACCATCTTCCCAAGCCCAGGAGGTGAAAGTGCGATCCGATCCCGTCCACTGCTTTGACCTTTAAGGGCTTCCTTCTCTTCTCACCCACCCTGTCCCACCACTCTAGTGAGGGAGTTTGGGCAAAGAAAGCAAAAGCTTCAGTGTTGAGGTTGCTAATGCTACTCTTTAGTATTCAAAGAGAAAGGGGTCTTTGTGGAAACAGAAACTGATGGGCGTGCCCAGCAGGGCCTGCAGAGCTTTGCCTTCTAGGACTGACTTATTTTTATACTATTGCATTTTTGTGAACTGCCTTAAATCCCTCATTGGAATAAGATAGGATATGTCTGTATGTGTGTGTATGTATATGTACATACATACAAAATACACCTTTAAGATTTTGTGATTTCACGGTACAGTAAGTTTAAAATCACCTTTGTCTGGAAGAAGGCAGCATTACATTTATCTCGTCAAGGAAAAATCATGTAAGAAGTAGTGAATAGGGTCGGGCGCCTTGGCTCACTCCTGTAATCTCAGCACTTTGGGAGGCCAAGGCGGGCAGATTGTTTGAGGCCAGGAGTTCCAGACCAGCCTGGCCAACATGGTGAAAATCCATCTCCACTAAAAATACAAGAATTAGCCGAGCATGGTGGCACATGCCTGTAATCCCAGCTACTCAGGAGGCAGGACAATCGCTTGAGCCTGGGAGGCAGAGGTTGCAGTGAACTGAGATCGCGTCACTGCACTCCAGCCTGGGCGACAGAGTGAGACTCTGTCTCAAAAAAAAAAAAAAAAAAAAAGTAGTGAATAGATGGTAACTTCACTGGGCTAGACATTTTTTAGACATTTGCTGTTCTTGCTTAATTTTAAAAAGGGTTATCGGTATTTAGCCCACATTTCCTCACGTCCTACCTTGCCTCTAAGTACAAACTGGATCACAAAAATAGCAACACACCATATTTTTCTGTCTCCATTCCACCCATAGTTGTGGCACCTCTATTCTCCTGAATGTGCAGACATTCACCCTTTTAGCTTTGTTGGCTGTCAACCGCTGCTCCCTGCCCTCCCCTAAAATACTAGAAAAACATCACTGACCAATCGGAGTGAAGTATCTTATGAGACTTACTGCAGTATGAGAGAGCTCTGCCTTAACAGTGTCTAGGCAATGTCTCAGAGGGGAAATGACAGGGTAGGTTATTAGGGACTAAGCTGGGTGATTTCAGGGCAGGTCTTGCAAGGCAGGCCTGTATTTGGGATTGGGTAGATTTTGTGACATAATAGCTGTAGATTGGTGGGCACAGCAGGAGGAGAATATTGAAGCAAGTTTTGATGGGGAAGGTGGTATTCTTGTTAAGTAAACTCTTTGAGTTGGTTTACGATTTTATTTTTCAGGAAAATGTATTTCCTGGAGCAAGTACCTACATTTGCTTATTCTCAAAATGGATTAATATGGGAACAGAAAGCAATTCCCACGTCCATTATTGTTTTACACAGTGATGGAGAATTATGTTGGTTTCAGTACTTAGTTACTACATAGCGGTAATCATTTTCCTTTTCTCTGGCTCTGGTTTGTTGGGTTGTTGATTCTTTTTTTTTTTTTTTTTTTTTTCCTCTCAAGTAGATGGGACTATAGGCATGTGCCGCCACACCTGGCTAATTTTTATATTTTTAGTAGAGACGGGATTTCGCCATGTTGGCCAGGCTGGTCTCAAACTCCTGACCTCCAGTGATCCACCCACCTCGGCCTCTCAAAGTGGTGAGATTGCAGGCGTGAGCCACTGCGCCCGGCCAGGTTGTTGATTCTTGACTACACTAATGGTGAAAACGCAACAATGTCCCAATAACCACCAAAGGCACCAGTGTCCACCAGTTTGCAAAGTCACAACTGCCCCAGCAAAGACACAATACTCACTGAAGGTGCCACTGAGTCCAAGAAGATAAATGGACTTCTGTGCTCCCTTTCATTTCACTCTATTACATGGCCTACAAAACACTTCAGGCTTATTCTCCCCAGTGTCTTAGATTATTCTGAACTCATTCCTTCACTTGCTCTTAGATATTGCTCCTCTACCAAGGACTCGGGTTATAAGCTTATGGTGGCTAGTTTAAATTTAAATGAACAGTGCCACTTGTCTCTGATACTGTCCCCTAGTTCCTGACCTTCTCAGTATCCCAGCAGTGCTACTCTCTCTTGGGGTTCGTTCATTCACAGGAAGCAACTTCATCCCTTATGCAAATAAATTCCTTATGGGTTCCTGTCATGGAGTCTCCAAACATACCTAACCTATCTAAACACTAAGGCCAACGCATGTTTTGCCCTCAAACCAGGCATCCTATTACATGTTGATTTAAATTTTAGATCATTTGAAATTCTGTTGGCTTAGAAACTTTTAAAGTGGTACTGTTTTGTTTGTTTGTTTTCCTTTGGAGATGGAGTTTCACTCTTGTTGCCCAGACTGGAGTGCAATGGCATCATCTCGGCTCACCGCAACCTCCACCTCCCGGGTTCAAGCAATTCTTCTGCCTCAGCCTCCCAAGTAGCTGGGATTACAGGCATGCGCCACCATGCCCAGCTAATTTTGTATTTTTAGTAGAGATGGGGTTTCTCCATGTTGGTTGGTCAGGCTGGTCTTGAATTCCCAACCTCAGGTGATCTTCCCACCTCGGCCTCCCAAAGTGCTGGGATTACAGGCATGAGTCACCACGCCTGACCGGTACTGTATTTTTTTATAAGCCAAAGTGGTTCTTACAAAAGCATGGATGTTCTGCCCTATTATAAACAGTGAACCAGAATTCTGAGTAAAAACTAAAACAACATTAAAACATATGTGAATGTTCCTCTTTTAAAATTACAATTACTCACTTGCCAGGCTCTTCATGAGGGTTCAATATTGCTTTAGTGATGTGCATATAATTCAAATGCCATGAATATGAAGGGAAAAATCTGTCAGATATAATGTCCATAACTTATTTTCTCTTTCCTTGAAGCAGTGTTAATTCTTTTGTCAAAACTGAGACATTTTTCATGTGACAGAATTCTGTCCTTACCCATGACCCTGAATGAAAAAAGTCAGCTGCTTTTCCCAGTTGAGTACATTTGCATTTGTTGCTCATTGGGTCTGCTTCAAATTAATTTAGAAATAAATTAAAAGTTCTGCTTTTGAGTAATGAAAGCATGCTTTACCATAGACAAGCGATGTTAGCTTCTAGCTCCATACCCAGCAACTGGCCTGGTTCAGCACTTCCAGTATCTCTGCTTGGAGTATTTCCTTGTTTATAGCTGAGAAACCCGACATGAAAGTTCTTAGTAAATATTATTTGGTGAAATTGTTGATAAGAAAAAGGGTATTGACCTCCCATTTATCCCTATCAGATTTAAGAAGCTATCTTGCTACACTCAGAAAGCTGTCTTTACAAATTGATCCTTATTTAGTACCTTCAAACAAAAAATTAAATGGGCTTCCATTCAGCCACCTCCTTTAGGGCAACGAGACTCACTCTTTCCTTCAATCTCATTGCTCTTAAAAGTTGCTAGACACACATTCAGTTGACAGAAGGGAGATTCAGTGTCTGTCCCTCTATAACAGTGATTGGATAGGAAAAGGTTTGGGTTTGGAGACTTAAATGAAATTGGAGCTTTTGAAATAGCTTGAATTTATGGAGGCCTGCTTGAGTTCAGCTTCCCCTCAAAAAAAAATCTAAACGAGGTTGACAATGAAGAATTATGGACTACACAATGGAGGAGTATCAATGTGCACAATTAATACTAGGAAACAGGTTGAGACATCTCCGTTTAAGCTACATGCCATCTGGCCTAGAAGCAGTCATTCTACCAGAGTGACATCAAAGGTCAGCAGGAGCGAGAGCCGTATGTCCCGCTGCCAGGCTCCTGGATTTTATTTCTCATTTAAGAGAATCTGATCTGTCATTCCTCTGGCTCCTGTGGGCTTTAAATTCACATAATCAACATATCACTGCCAGAGACTTAGTAATAGCTGAGGCAGTTTAAAGGTGAGTGGAGAATAATCGTGCTCCCAAGCCAGATGCGTTCAGTTCTGCAAGGAAACAAAAAGTCCATCTCAGGCTCCAAAAAGGAAGGCAAATTGCCCTGTTTGAAGGAGACCTCACCTCTCCTCCCAAATGTGCTAGTAGCTACATACTGCATGCTGGGAGGCCTGGCCCTTTGCAGAAGTTTAAGAGCAGTGGTCCTCAAAACACGGTCCACAGACCCCTGGGGATTCTCAGGGTCTTTTCTCAGGGTCGTTGAGGTCAAAAGTATTTCCATAATAATAGAAAGATGTTATTTGCCTTTTTCATCATTTGACATTTGTGACAATAGTGCAAAAGCAATGATGAGTAAAACTGCTGGTACCTTAGCATGAATCAAGGTAATGGGACCAAACTATACTAGTAGTCGGTGTATTTTCTTACTGCTACACAGTAAAAAGAAAATGTCAGTTTCACTTAAACATGTCCTTGGTGAAGTGTTAACAATTATTAATGTTATTAAATGTCAGCTCCTGAGTATACATCTTTTTCATATTTTGTGTGACAAAATGGAAAGTGCACATAAAGCACTTTTGCTGCACACTGAAGTACAATGGCTGTCTCAAGGAAAAGCACTAATGCCATCATTTGAGTTGGAAGGTGAACTGCTTTTTTTTGAGATGGAGCCTTTCTCCGTTACCGAGGCTGGAGTGCAGTGGCGTGATCTCAGCTCAATGCAGCCTCCACCTCCCTGGTTCAAGCAATTTCCCTGCCTCAGCCTCCTGAGTAGCTGGGATTACAGGGGCACACCACCACACCCAGCTAATTTTTGTTTTTTTTTTTTTAGTAGAGATGGGGTTTCACCATGTTGGCCAGACTGGTCTCGAACTCCTGACCTCAGGTGATCTGCCCGCCTCAGCCTCCCAAAGTGCTGGGATTACGACGTGAGCCACTGCACCCAGCCTATCTGCTTTTTTTTTGAGGAACAGTGTTTTTATTTGGAAGAACAACTGACAGACTGTGGTTATTTGAAATTGGGTATTTGGCAGATATTTTCTCAAGAAAATGAACTAAATTGGCCAGTAACTTCAAAGAAAATAACTGGCAGTATTTATTGCCAATGATAATATTTAAGTTTTTGAATGAAAATGAGAATTTGGAAAATCTTGTATTTGCCACCGTGAGCCTAACAGCTTCCCAGCGCTAAGAACTTATCTGATAAGATCAATGGTGATTAATAATGAAGACAATCTTTTGAAATTGTATAATGAAATGTGCTTACATTTGGAAGATCTGCATAATTCGGTGCACCCAATATTTTCCAAGTGCCCATGGTTTGGTGTTACAAAATCATAAATGTTTAAAAGACGCATTGAAATAAAGATAGCAATGGATTTTGTTGTAACAGAGTATGAAAACTTCATTGATATGTTTTAGATTCTGCATTGCAGGTAATCTGTAACTGTTAATAGTGTATTGTATGTTTTTAAATCGCTGAGTAAATTTCAAGTGTTCTCACTACAGAAACTATGTTAATTGTTTTGACTTCATTATTCCCCATTTTATTCATAAATCATGACATCACATTGTACCCCATAAATATATACAACTATAATTTATCAATTTACAATCAAAAACATTTCTTAAACTACCACTTGTTGAGTTTTGGTTTAGTTTCAGAGAATATCTACAGTTATCTAAAAACCTATTCAAATACCCTTATACACTTTCCCTTTTTCAACAATATATCTGTATGAAACTGTATTTTCTTCCTATACTTCACCAAAACCAAATACAGATGCTCTTTGACTTACAGTGGGGTTATGTCCTGATAAACCTATCATAAATTGAAAATAGCATAAGTCAAAAATGCATTTACTACACCTAACCTACTGAACATCATAGCTTAGCCTACCTTAAACATGTTCAGAACACTTACATTAGCTTACAGTTGGGCAAAATCATCTAATACAAAGTATATTTTATTATAAAGGGTTGAGTATCTCATGGACTCTACTGACCACTGTACTGAAAGTGAAAAACAGAATGGTTGTATGGGCCCTTGAAGTATGGTTTCTAGTGAATAGGTATCACTTTCACAACATTGTAAAATCAAAAATCCTAAGTTGTACCATTGTAAGTTGGGGTCCATCTGTATTAAAAGAGATTGAATGCAGAAACAATGAAGAATCAGCTGTCTTCTATTAAACCAGACATTAAAGAGATTTGCAAAAATTTAAAACAGTCCCACTCTTCTCACTAATGTTTTGAAAGACATAGTTATTTTTCATAAAAATGTGTTATCTACATTAATGTATAATGGGTTTGTTATTGTTATTTTTAAATTTAAACTTTTTTTTTAAGTTTCTTGATAGACATATTCCACATAAACAAAAGCTCTTTGGGGTCCTCAATAATATTTAAGAGGGTAGGATAGAGGAGTCCTGCAAGTAAAACGTTTGAGAACTGCTGCTCTAGGTGATCTTTAATGCCCTTCTCTTCCAGAGACAGCGCCATCCCTTCCCTCATCCACTGCCCTAAGCTCTGTCCCAGAGGTCCCGGAACATTCCCATCTTCTAAATTAGCTGATGGTGGCATGAGGAAGGGAAAGAAAGATCAAAATCACTTTCAGCCAAGCACTGTGCCATGTACTTAACATGTATATCTCATTTAACCCTCACAACAGCCCTGTGAGGTAATAATAATAATAATATGACCAAATAGTGGGGCAGCAGGACACATAAAGAGCCAACATCATTGTAAGGGTGAGCAAAGCCACATGCTGGCTAAGTATTCGACCAAATAAATAAAAACATCTTAAATACAGTTACAGCACTACTAATTTTTGAGTACATGGTGGTGATGCTATACCTAAATAAATTTCATTGTAAAGCATTAGCAAATTCATAAAAGCATCTGACCATCATGGTATTTTAAAAAATGTTAATCAATGAACCACAACACACTTGTTTATTGACAATGGAAAGGGAACAAAGAGATCTTCATCTTGAAGAATATTGAGAATCACCGCACCGTAGCATTGTAAACTACGCTGAAGCCATAGCAAACTCAGTACATCCAGAACAATGCTAAGCTCTTTGGAATGATTTCCTTAACTCTAAAAGTCCACCTTTGCCATCAAAGTATTTAAGACACTAGTCAGGGAAGACAACAGATACATATTGAAGCCAACTAACAGCCCAGTACAATATAAGATTAGATGAGGGAAACTGACAGAAAGTGCTATAAGAGATCTGGGGACATAAAGAACTTTTGGTCAAGGTGATCTTGGATAAACTAAGATCAGATCTTCATCTTTCAAGATAGGATTTAAATGGGCAGAGAGGAGAGTCACTGACCTTCCAAGTCAGGCAACAACATGGACAAAGACAGACATAGAAAGGGCAATATGCTTGACTCAATAGAGGACTCATAAAGAAGCAGTGGGAGATGTGGTTGGGAAAGCTAGTTTAGGGCCAAATGTTGGAGGGTCTGGATGGACTAAGAAGCATATAAACTTATCCCTATAGGTAATTCAAAATCCTCAAGTAAAAATACAAAAGAAAGACAGCAGAATGTGGCATAGATTGGCAAACAGGAATAGGAATTGAAAGTCCTATTAGGAAGCAATTTACAGTTCAGGACTGAGATTGTTCAGGTTTGACTGGGGAAAATAGAAGCAAAAAGGAATGAGCGTGAGAGACATTGAAGAGTCACAGTTTGGTGATTAAGGCAACGGAGAGGAGGGAAAGAGAGAGGACTCAAAGTTTTCAAGCCCAAGAGACTGTCACATGGTCCAACGAGGGAGGGACCATTTGGGTTGGGGCCCATCTGCTTCCTCTACACCCTCTTAAGTGTGATCCTAGTCCACTACAAGGTCTGAGGCACATGTTTAGTGACATGGAAGAGTTTTGACTTAGTCTGACAACGTAATCTGAACAGTCTCCTGAACTTACTGCTGGTCAGTTCTTCAGCTGTTCGTGAGATGCCTGCCCCTTCCCGGCCCAGGACGGTAAGATCTGGATTTGTTTCAAAGGCTGCAGCTGCCCACTCACTACTCAGCACACATCCAGGCCTGCTCCCCTTACAGAACAATTCCTCTGGATTCTCCCTGGGCCTTTGAACCAGCAAGGACTTCGGGCTTGGCTTTCTTGTTTTTTGAGGATGCAGCCTTGGATTGGGGCCTTGGTTTTGGACTCAGTTGTACTCAGCTTTATTCCACAGCTGTGGGCAAGCAACACCTACCTCCACTCTCCCTGTTGCTTTCTCAGAATATTTTTTAACCTGCCTTGTCCCCATCAGTTGGAGAACAAGATTAGATAGACTTTTTGCATAGTACTAGGTTCAGTTCTGAAAAGCGTTCGGCAACAGTTAAAGGAAATCGTAGAAATGGTAAGAAGGAGAAGGAAAGGAAAAAGCTAAAGATGAAAATTTTCAGTCTGGAGAATGGGAGGGAGGATGGCACCATGATGAGATAATCATCTTTGGGTACAGAAAGGGCTCTGCTGGAGAGAGGAAGCCTGGCTGCCCTCCCATCTGGCCAAGGGCAGACCAAGGGCTTAGTTACAGCATGGGGGATTTACGTAAGATAAAAGAATTTCTTGAACAAATGCGGAAATGGGTTTCAGAGGGGGTTTGTGTAATTGCCTTCACGGGAGATGGCTAAGAATAGCATAGCTCCTCCGGCAGCCGGAAGGCAAAGAGGTGTTCTGTGGACAGGCAGGAGGTGAACTTGGGTCATTTGTTGTTGCCCCTTCCATAACTCCTACCCTCTTCTTTTTCTATAGGAATACACATTTCTGCACTCTGTTGGGCCCCTGTGGAAGAACTCTGAACCCTTCTCCAGAACAAGGGCTCTTGGCCAATTCCTGGTATTTTTAGAAAATCAGCCTGTAAAGACTTTGCCCCCGTGGCTACCAGAGCACTGTAGTGGTGATTATTTTAAAAGCCATAGAGGTAATTTCTGACTAAATGATATCCTAGGCAGACTCAAAAATTGTTTCTTGAACTGAAGGGTTGCATGGCTGGGTTTTAATTAGAATGGATTAACACAGTGTTCCCATTTATAAAAGCCAAAATTGAAAAGAAGGAAATGCAATGAGGTAATTAAAGTGAGGAAAACATCCTCTGGATCCTCCCCCACCCAAATGGAACCGTTAAAAAGACAGGGAAAATTAAATAAATATTTGTTATTTTTTGTAGACCTTGATAATGTCTGTATATAAAATCTCAAGAGTGTCACATAGCTGTTTAAGTTTCTAGTGTGTATATACATACATGTATGTTTTTTCATGTGTGTACATAGTTTTGTACTATATAATAAACACATACACAGATTGTTTTTTGTTTACAATAGTATATGACAGTATATATAGGTAACACTTTTTTTTTCCTTTTTTCTCTCAACTGACTGATTTGGCAAAATCAAGAAGTTTGCATGGTAGTGCAATAAGATGACCTAAATGATTCACCACTGCAAAATTTTGAAATGTGTCATTGGGTTTTCATTCCAAGCAGCAATGGAAAATCACTGGTAAGTGTTCTCTTGTTCGTCATGGCAACATCCTTTGGTGGATACACCTGTAGAAAGGTGTTAAGGGGGGGAATAAGGACAAAGGCCATGTGTGTTTTATCATTTATCAAAATTAAGGTTCTGCCACATTTTTACTAGAAAAAAAAGTACCGTGCCTACATATCAATTTCAAACCCATCAATTACTGAGTCCTGTCAGAACAATTGTCTCCTCAATAGCTCTCATGTCTGTCCCTACTTCTCCATCCAATACCACCAGCCTGTTATGTCTCCCATGGATTACTGCAATGGCCTCCTGACTGGTACCCCAGGCTCCAGTCTTCTTAACCCTCTTCAGGTATTTCTCACACCATCACCATCTTACTCTTTATTAAGTAGAAACTTAATTGTGTCACCTGTTTGATTTAAATTGGTCAGTGGTTCCCAGATGCCTACAAGATTAAGTCCAAGCTCAGTATCATGACCCTTTAAGATCTTTCTCTGGCCTTTGCCAAACTCTCTTGCTTATCATTAACCCCTCCTCAGCTACTCTCCAAGCTCTAGCTCCAGCAAGCTCTGTCCACTCCCTCCCAGTGGGTTCTCTTTCTTTCCCTACTACACCTTTTTGCTTTTGAGCAGCCTGGCCTCTCTCCCTGGAACTGTCTGCCATCCACTTCCTTCCCTGGCTGTCTCTAATGGATGCTACACAACTCAGGTCCAGCTTCATCTCTTCCAGGAAAGCTTCCCAGCCAGGACCCCACACCAAGTTTAGTCTCTTACCTATGTTCCTACAACAAGTACAGCATTACCTACCATTGCCAGCAGAAAAGGGCTCCAAAAATGAGGGGAGAAAACCTTTTTAAAAGAATTTGATATTCAGTATTTCCCTAGAAAAGCATCAAAGTGATTGTTGTGGGGAAAAAAATGAGGATTTACTTGGACTTTCTTGTATTTAACGTTAATTTTTAAAAAACTTTTTGATGCAATACACATACATATACAAGAGTGCACAAATCATTAATGTAGAAAGCATCCAGATCAAGAAACCCAACATTACCAGAACTTCAAAAGCCCCACCTTGTGAACACGTCCAGTTCCTAATCCCCAAGGGGTAACCACTCCTCTGACTTCTAACAGATTGGTTTTGCATATTTTTATATTTTATGTAAGTAGAATCATAAAGTATGTTCTCTCTTGTGTTTGGCTTCTTTCGTCCAACATTATGTTTGTGAGAAATACTCATCTTGTTGCATGTAGTTGCAGTTTGTTTGTTCTTGTTATTGTAGATCAATATTCAATTATTTACCTTCTCTATTGTTGATGGGCATTTGGATACTTTCTGTTTTGGGACTCTTATAAATAGTGCTTCTATGAAATTCTTCCACGTCTTTTGGTGAACATAGGTGTGCATTTCTGCTGGGTAAACATTAGGTTAAACAATATAAAATTGCCAATATTCAACCATTGTTTACCTACTAAGATGACAACTTACTACCTAGGAGTGGATTGCTGGGTCATTGGATACAAGTATATTCAGCTTTAGAAGATACTGTTAAACAGTTTTCCAAGGTGGCCATACAAATGTATACTCCCTCCAGCAATCTATGAGAGTTCTGCTTGTCTAAATGCTTTTTGATTTTAGCCATTCTAGTGGGGAAGGGGTAAATAGTTGAATCATGTTGTGGCTTAAATTTGCATTTCCTTCATGACTGGTGAAGTTAGGCACTTTTCCATCTATTTGTTGGCAATTTGGAATATCCTCTTTTGTGGTTAGCTCAAGTCGTCTGCCCAATTTTCTATTGAGTTGTCTGCCTTATTCATTTTGTATTATTTTTATTTCACAGCTGAGGGCATTAGAATGTTTTCATTGCTTAGCTCTATAAATACTTTTATCCAATTTTATTTCCAAAGAACTCTGTGTTCACCTCTATCCAATTATATATTACACTGCTGAAATTTTATTTATATATCTACTGTTCCTTATGAGTACAGTAATTTTCAAATTGTTAAACAATTGGAAACTGTAACCTAATTCATCATATTTCCAACCCTAGAATAATATCTATTAAGTGCTTCAATAAATATTTGTTCAGTTAACTGATATACACTTAACACTGTGTTCCTCCTAAATTTGTGTTAACTGTTTTGTACTTCTCTGTATAAAGTTTATTTCAGTAAGACAAATTGTGTGAATTATTCTGCCCATCTCCATTACCTTACAAAGGAACACTGCTACTTGCAAACATACAAAGATGAGGATCAGAGAATAGCAGAGTTGTTTTCTAGTTAAGTAAGTGTCTATGAAAAATAAGCAACAAAAACTTACCTAATTGATAAGAAAAAAATTTTATTATTAAACTTTAAGTTCTGGCATACATGTGCAGAATGTGCAGGTTTGTTACATAGGTATACACGTGCCATGGTGGTTTGCTGCACCCATCAACCTGTCATCTACATTAGCTATTTCGCTTAATGCCATCCCTCCCCTAGCCCCCCCACCACCAACGGGCCCCGGTGTGTGAGATGTTCCCCTGCCTGTGTCCCTGTGTTCTCATCGTTCAACTCCCACCTATGAGTGAGAACATGCAGTGTTTGATTTTCTGTTCTTGTGTTAGTTTGCTGAGAATGATGATTTCCAGCTTCATCCATGTTCCTGCAAAGGACACAAATTCATCCTTTTTATGGCTGCATAGTATTCCATGGTGTGTATGTGCCACGTTTTCTTTATCCAGTCTATCACTGATGGGCATTTGGGTTGGTTACAAGTCTTTGCTATTGCGAGCAGTGCTGCAATAAACATATATGTGCATGTGTCTTTATAGTAGAATGAGAAAAAATCCAAATCTTAATAGCTTAATGGGTAAATGGCCTTGATATGTGGGTAATTTATATCAAGAGAGGTAAAAACAAAAAAGTGAATTGGTAAAATTAAACGACCAGTCACACTTTATTTATTTATTTACTTACTTACTTACTTACTTACTTACTTACTTACCTACTTACTTCAGGTTTTCTGTCACCCAGGATGGAGTGCAGTGGTGCATTCATGACTCACTGCAGTCTCAACCTCCCGGGCTCAAGCAATCCTCCCTTCTCAGCCTCTCCAGTAGCTGGTACTACAGGTGCACATTCTACTATGCCCTTCTAATTTTTATACTTTTTGGTAGAGATGGGGTTTCACTATGTTGCCCAGGCTGGTCTTGAACTCCTGGGATCAAGCAATCCATCTGCTTCGGCCTCTCAAAGTGCTGGGATTACAGGCGTGAGCCATTCCATTCAGGCTTATTTATTTAATGGATGCAAAAATTACTAAAAATTAAATTAATAACATCTAAAGCTGATAAGGTTTTTCTAAATGTGGTACCTCCTTACACTGTTCTTCATTGTGCTTTTTATTAGAGGTGATGGTTTACGCATCTTCTTCCAACATTATATTGTAACTTTCTTATGAGCAGGACCTACTTCTGATCCAGTCCTATTGTAAAACCGGTAGGTACCCTTATGCATACAACCTTATTAGAATGCAATTTGTTAGTGCATTTCAAAAGCCACAACAGCATATACATGCCTCCTTTGATGAAGTAAATTCACTCTTAAGTATTTAAGGAAACAATCTATAGGAAAGAAAATAAAATAAATATTAATAAATATTAATATTTTTATTTCTATTATTTACAATAGTGATAAATGAAATCAGTAAATTTCTAAATAGAAACAGTTGAACAAATTATGTCACAGAAACTCTAAAGAATATCATTCTGCCATTAAAAGTGGAAGATTTTGCCAGGTGTCGTGGCTCCTGTAATCCCAGCACCTTGGGAGGCCGAGGCAGGCGGATCATGAGGTCAGGAGTTCCAGACCAGCCTGGCCAACATGGTGAAACCCCATCTCTACTAAAAATACAAAAATTAGCCAGGCGTGGTGGCATGTGCCCGTAATCCCAGCTACTCGGGAGGCTGAGGCAAGAGAATCACTTGAACCCAGAAGGCGGAGGTTACAGTGAGACGAGATCGCACCACTGTATCCAGCCTGGGTAACAGAGTGAGACTCCATCTCAAAAAAAAAACAACAACAACAAACAAAAAACAAAAAAACAGAAGATTTTGAAGCACCTATGGATGTAGGCCGATGCTATTAGATGAAAAAGATTCAAAATCATATTATCCTCAGAATAAAATTATGCCATATAATTATACATGGGGCCATGGGAAAACACAAATACAAAAGAAATAGGTGGAAATTTCAAAGTAACAGGATGATGCAGAGTTTCTTTCTTAAATTTTATTATCATTCATTCACTCATTTCCCCCCCGCTCCTCTCCTGGACACAGCCACCATCATTTCTTGCTGGGATGATAGCAACCACTTCCTAACTGATCTTCATGCTTCTTCCCCTGTTCAACCACAGTCTGTTCTCAACACAGCCAGAGTCATCATGGAAATCACAGGTTGGATCTTGTCACTTTTCTGCTCAGAAGTCTCCAATGGCTTCCCATCTCACACAGAGTGAAAAAAAAAGAGTTCTTACAGCAGCCTGTATGACCATGGACAAGCTGAATGTTGTTTTCATCCTGACATCATGTCATTCTGCACCCTTCCTTGCTCGCTCTGCTCCAGTCACACTAGTCTCCTTGCTCTTCTACAAATGTCCTGGGACGCTTCTACTTCTAAGTCTTTGGACTCACTCCTGCCTCTGCCTAGAAGCCTCTTCTGCAAGATAGGTTCTTTGCTCAAACATCTTCCTGACCATGCTATTTAAATTTGCAACACTCTGACATCCACATATTATATCCTCCTCTCTCCTTCATAACAAGTATTACCATCTACTATATCACATTTCACTTATTTATTTTATTGTCTGACTCCTAGAGTATAAGCTCTATGGAAGCAAGACCTTCTATCTGTTTGGTTTACTGCAATATCCTCAGCAGCCCCTAAAGAGTGCCAAGCACATAATAAATGATCAATATTTATTGGTGAAATGAAGGAACAAATTTACTAAATGTTTATTCAAGGGCCTGTTATTTTTAAGACCCTGTGCTGAGTGCTAGAAATATAGTAGTGATACTAGAAATATAGTAATAAACAAAAGAAAGGCTTATTTTTTGTTTTGTTTTGTTTTGTTTTGTTTTAGGGACAGGGTCTCACTGTGTCATCCAGGCTGGAATGCAGTGGCGCAATCATACCTCACTACAGTTTCAACCTCCTGATTTCAAGCCATCCTCCAGCTTCAGCTTCCTGGGTAGCTAGGACTACAGGTATGCTCCACGATGCCAAGCTGCCTTTTTTTTTTTTTTTTTTTTTTTTTTAGAAACTGGGTCTCACTATATTGCCCAGTCTGGTATCAAACTCCTGGCCTCAAGCAATTCTCCCACCTCGGCCTCCCAAAGTGCTGGGATTACAGGTGCGGGCCAACATGCCTAGCCCAAGAGGAAGTTTTAATATCATGGGACTTACAAGACAGTGGAGGAAGACGAACAATAGGAAAGAAGAGAGAGAGGAAAGGAGGGAGGGAGGGAGGAAGAAAGGAGAAAAGTAGCAACAGTGGTAAGATCTATGAAGGTGCGAGCCAGGTGAGGTGATAGACCACATAGTCAAGGGGCCTAACTTCAACGAAGTTATGTGAAAGACATACAAAAAGCATTTCAGGCAAAACAGCAAAGGCCCTGAGACTGAGAAGATAGGAGAAAGTTTAGTAAATTTACAGAAACAGAAAGACCACCAATGTAGCTAGGAAAAGGCTATGAAGAAGTGACAGCAGAAGCAGAGAGCCAGGTCCTGTAGGCCCTTTAAGTCAGGGAAAGTTGTTTGGATGCTGTTGTAAACACAACGAAAAAAAATTGCTAAAGGTTTTTTAAGCAGAGGAATGACAAGGCTGTTGTAATATTGTTCGTGAAGTTTTGGGCTAAAGTCACCAGAGTCCTGGATTAGTCAAATTGCAGTATGACAACTAGCACTCTGCCCCATGTGTTGCAGGCAGACATTAAATGACAGTTGATTTTTTTCCTTATCCTAAATATCACTTAGTACATATCACCAACTGACCTAGGTGAGGGAATACCTTTATTATTACCACCTTTTGTAGTTTTAATATGCTGAATGTTTTAAAATGGTTTTGATTCAATGCTTATAATAAAATTGAGATACTGAACATTCTGTTCCTAAAAAACCATTTATCCTCAAAGAGGTTTTTGATTGATTTCTTCCCAACAAGCTCTGTGCATTAACTCAAACTCAGTCTGCACCAGAGACTCTATGTGTGTGCAAATGAGAGTTGAAATGTGAATCTCCAAGGAGCAAGCTTGGCCCTTGTTGATATGTAAAAATTTCCTCCAGAGCATTTGTGACAAATCTACTCTAGCATTCTCCTAGATGTACTCCTAGGCAACTTTGGAAGGTACACAGAGATAGGTTCCTTTAATCTCAGATGAATTTTCCAAAGGCTAAGTTCTATGTCTTTAGGAGAAATGAAAAATACCAAATGTTCATGTGTGTTTATTTTATTAAATTAGCTAAGAAAAAATAGGATGGGTTTCTGTGTTAAATAAAATCTCCTAACATTCAACAGTTTAAGGGAAACTTTAGACTCTTTAGTTACAGACATTACTGGGGAAAGGCAATAATTCCATATAGAACTGTATCTATAGCAGCATTTCTTTCCAAATAAATTTTTATTAAATATCCCCATTAAAAAATGAAATGTAGACTTCCAGTTGAATGTAGGAGACTCGGATGTAGATCTGCTCACTCTCTCACACAAAAAAGCTAAAAATATATTTTTTGAAAGGTATAAGCCCACATAGACAAAAATAATGGACCCCCTACTAGAAGCAAACTGAAATACTCTGTAGAATACCAGAAAGACTCAGAATTTGGAAGCTCTAGGTAACAGTAAATGTCAGAATGCATGATAAAGTTACAAGTGCTGGCAAGGGTGTGGAGAAAAGGGAACCCTTACACACTGTTGGTGGGGATGTAAATTAGTACAGCCATTATGGCAAACAGTATGGAAGTTCCTTAAAAAATTAAAACTAGAACTACCATGTGATCCAGCAATCCCACTACTGAGTATATACACAAAGGAAATGAAATGAGTATGTTGAAGAGCTATCTGCACTCCCATGTTTATTGCAGTACTGTTCACAATAGCCAAGACGTAGAATCAACCTAAACATCCATCAAGGCAGGAATAATGTGGTATATATACACAAGGGAAAATTATTTAGCCATAAAAAATAATGAAATTCTGTTATGTGTGACAACATGGATGAACCTGGAGCACATTATGTTAAGTGAAATAAGCCAGACAACAAAAAGATAAATACTGCATGATGTCACTCTGGTGAAATCTCAAAAGTGGTTCTCATAGAAGTAGAGAGTAGAATAGTGGCTGCCAGAGACTGGGGGGGTGGGGAAGATAGGGAGAGGTTGTTCAAAGGGTACATAATTACAGTTAGATGGAAGGAATTAATTCAAAAGATCTATTGTACAGCAAGGTGACTGTAGTTAATGATGATTTATTATGTTCTTGAAAAATGCAAAGAGAGTGAATGTTAAGTGCTCTCCCCACAAAAAATAACTGCATGAGGTAATGCAATCATTAGTGAGATTTAACCATTCCATAATGTGTATATATACTTCAAAACATCATGTTGTACATGATAAATACACACAGTGTTGTCAAATCTTAAAAAAAATAATTAAAAAGAATGCATCATAGAGTCAAAACCAAGGTGATTGCTTAAAACTCTCTCAACTACCCATAGGCAGGACCACAAAGATTTTGTTCTCTGGAGAAAGTAACCTGCAAACTTTTCGGTTGCAGGGACTGAACACAGAGGGTGAGGGTAATCATGGGGCTGAACACAGGTAGATTTCAGGGAGGTCTGCCAACTGAACTGAGGGGATGCCCCAGCCTGGACATCCAGGACTTAGAGTCACCATAGTTAATGTTTGCCTAAGAAAGCACTCAGACCAAACTGGATTCAAATCCACGCTGCCAGTTGCTAGCTAAATGATCATGAATGAAGTCATTAACCTCTTCAAGCCTCAGGTCTCTTACCTGTAAAGTAGAGATAATATGTATCCGAGTTGTTGTGATAATTAAATTAGATAATATAAAAAAGGTATTTAGTACATGTTTGGCACATTATACATAATAAATGGTAGCAAGCATTATCAGTAAAGAGCAGGGTCTAGAATCCTTTCTGAAGGACTTGAAACTACCATTAAGTATATGTAAACTGACTCCTTTCTTTACATTATTTTCTAACAGATTACTATAGAAGTATAACCTGAAGTCTTCAGTAAGTCACAGGTTACAATCACGTTTGGTCAGGAGAACATTCGAGAATGGGCTCTGAAGTTAGACAAAATTGACTATTTCTGGCTCTTGCAATTACTAATGTGATCTTGACAAGTCACGTGTTTCTCACCTGTGAAGTTGGAATAGCAACAACTATGTGCAAGATTGTTGCGAGGATTGGCCATAAAGCAGGCATGCCCCAGCAGAGTGCCTAGGACATAGTGGGTGTCAACAAACAGAAGCCATTTTCACTATGATTATTATTAGGCCAAAAAAATTTATAAATGCCAATTGAAAATCTGATCAACTTTGGAATAAATATGCTTTGGGCTATTTTTGCCATTCATCAAATATCACTGGGGTGGGAGGGTTGTCTGACTGTTATCCAAGTACTGGGATTCCACTGACTTCTAAATCAATTTGGAAATTAACACAGTGTACTTCTAAATGGTAAACTATACACTTTTTTGTCTAGGACATTTGCAGACATTTCAGCCAAACTGGCAGGGAAAATGATACTCAATATTTTAGGTAGCTTTTTACACTGGGATTTTAACTTATGCAGTTTTTCTTTCTCTGTAAAGTGGAGTCTCTGGCCAGAATTAATTAGAACAGCACTTTTGTGGCTTGTACATGGACACTCATCTTCATTTCTTGGACTCTGAGCCTCAATTTCTCATTCAAGTGGAGAAAGCATATAACAAGAATATGGTGAGTAGTATTTTTCATCTCATAATCAATGGAGAAGTAAAAACCATTATATATAAATTCTCTGAAAATACTGGAAAATATTGTACTTTCAACAATATTTTGTAGGATATTTTAGTTACTTTATCAATGGTATATATTTTAAAAGCTTAGAACATATTATAAATTCATGGCTTTGCCACAGATTCTTATGTTCAGTTACCTTTCTAATTGAACCAATTAACAAAACAAAATACACATTCAAATGAAACATGTATCTAAACCATTTAGGAATAATTAAAATTATAGATCAGGTTTTCTTTCACTGATCACAAATCATGGTAATGCTTTTGTGGTGCTCATTTCCGGGCTCACTTTGGTGTGTTTATTAAAGCACGGTATTGTCAGATCACAGGGAGTATCTCATTTTCATTTTCATATCTCCAATTCTAAAGGGAATTAAATTATCCAATTAAGCTGTTAATTAAAAAGACTCCTACAGAATAAACTGCAGGCTACCAATGGCATTTTCAATTTTCATTGTGCTGTGCTCAAAAGCAATTTTCTAAATTCAAAAGAACTCGAAGTTACTGCCCCGTACTTCACTTTATAAGGTGTGACTGGGAATGCTCCCTGAGAACTAAACCCATTTGTTCTTCATTCTGGGCACACAGCTACACTACATGACCCAGCCTCCCCTGCAGTTAGATTTAGCCAATGGAATATGAGCAGAATTAATGTAGGCAACTTCAAGGACTATCGCAAATCTTCCACTCAGTATCTTCCATGACCTTTTTCCCTCCACTGGCTTCTTATAGATGAGCATACTTTCAATCATGTGTTGAAAATGGCAGAACCATAATATGGAAGGAGACTGGGTCCCTGAGTCACCAGTTAGAGGAGAGAAACTCACTGATAATTAATACCCATTATGTGTGTAATGAAAACAAGAAATAAATTGGGTTAAGCCATTGAGATTATCTGTTTCTACAGCTAGTGTGATCTTAATAAAAAAAAAAAAAAAAAAAAAAAAAAAAAAAAGGCAAGTGAACTTGAGGCGCATGCAAGTATCTTAAACCTAATTGGAAATAGCCTCTTGCAAATTTTGATCAGGTCCACTTAGATACATATCTAACACTGTCATTTATATGCATCTTTCGTTGTGCCACTTCCCTATATACAAAAATTCTCATTTCATGGATCAGCTCAGAAACTAGAATAAACTCTCCAAGAAGGGCACAACAGGCCGTGCTCAGCTGCTTATTACCCACAATCTCTGTGCCCTGTGATGTCCATTTCCTGTACATGATGATGGTATGAGCTATGACATAGAAGGGCTGACCTTGGATCCTACAAACCAGTACTTTTCCAGATCTTAGAACATATCAGTGCCAGAAAGGTGTTTAAAATAATCAACAGGGGACTCAATTTGCACTGTCAGCATAACCCTAAAAGACACCGCAGAGAAATCAGTATAAATTCTTTTGTACGCCTCTGGATTTGTCTGAACTCAGGGAGGCAGTCAGGCATGCAGAGTCCCATACCACTCAGTCATTGTCCAACGGTCACCAGACACTTCCAGTTCTCTGAAAGTACATCGGGCAAAGAGGCTCCAGTAGCATGAGGGCAGCCATCCTAGAGAGTCAAAGCCAATTAGAAAAAAAAGCAGAGCGAAGATGAGGTAAGGGCACCCAGTAAAAGGAATTTGCTGGGATCTGTGCAGAGGAAACGCCAATAGTATCCACCAGACAAAAGCTGAATAATTCTTTCTCTGTGTTCCAAACCACAACTTGATTGAGTTATATATCATAATCACTCAGTAGGGTTATTGAAACAGTTTATATATCCATCTCCCATGTTAGACCGGACTGTTCACTGAAGCCCAGACACTGTATATTATCCACCTAAATATAGCTAGTTTAGTGATTTAAATATGAGTGCTCAGTTACTGTGCGCTGGGAATGAATAACTATAAATCGACTGGATTGTTAAAGAATGATGATAACACAGAGAGAGATTCTTTGATTTGATAGTAACTGTGATGTTCATTGTCACTTTTGTGAGATCAGCCCTATCCCCTATCACCGTTGATAATTTCCTCAGAGGCATCTCTTTCTCTATAGAAATATTATTACAAAGGCAATAAACCATATCTGCTGACTTATATTCTGGAAGAAAATATAATGACAACCTCGTAAATACCTTCTTGTCTATGGAGAAAGTTACTGCATTCAAATCCCACTTTTCTAAGCCAAGAAAGCTAATATAGTACAGTTATTGTACACTATTTTTTGGCAAATGTTGTGTAAAACAGGATGGAATATGTTAACAGATCTAATAGATTTTAATATTTTTAAAAAAGAAAGACACAGAAAGCCTTCAACCAACTTTTTATTGTCCTTAAAATGATTGTTTACATCGTTTCACGAGTAGAAGAAAATACAACCAGTCTCACAATAACCATTTAGATATAAAATGTATAATCCAAGAACATCTCTCTTCAAACCAGTAGGACACTGTCACTGGTGATGAGAATGTTGTTATATGAAGCAATCGTATATTCTTCCATAATTTAATATGCAACTAAGGCATTATGTTAAATGTATCAAGGAAGAAGCCTATCAAATGCTAAGTGATTATAGAAATACTGATTGAATAAATGTATTTAGAAATGGGATAATCTAACGGATAGAGGTTAATCCACAGGTCAGTAGACCAAAACCCAAAGACTACCTTTCCTTCCTGTGGGATACTTGACAAGAGATTTCAGGCTTCTCCACTTCTTTGGCACAAGCACAATCTGTCTGGCAAACCATAGTTCCTAGTTGCTTCTTAGTGATGCTCCAGGGCTAAATAAGATAAAATTTATGTGCTATGCTTAAGCTCCATTGAGGCAAGGCACTAAATAAACTTCAGGATAATTTGTGAATCGTGTGTTTGCATTAGTGATGTCCAAGTCCATCTCATAAAATGAATAAATGAGAACAGGAGGCCAATGCTGAGCACTTAGTGAAAAGCTCAGTATACTTTGGGCAATGGTGATGAGCCCAAATAAAACCACTTTATATCTAAAATAATTTTTTACTAATCCAGGAGATTTTCACAAACACAAAAACCCTAACTCCTTCCAATGCCCAGACAATAGTTCACTGGCAGAACATCTGGTGTGTGAATCAGAGAACTGTATTATAGCAGCCCTAGTCTGATATCTAATATCCTTTCAATTTACCATCATTTTTTTTAAAACTTTATGGCTCTACTCCAGTGAATGTGCTTAGCAAGGAATGCCAAGATCCTGTCTTCTCTTCAGAGCCACATCCATAGGCCAGCTTCTCCCTACTTTTTTCTTTCCCTTCCAGTTGCATTTTACCTTTCTCTTTCTACCACTTAATCATCAGTGTCTGTTAATCTTAGCAATCTGTATCTAAGAGAAAGGACAGTGAGAATGTAATTGGAAGAGTTAAACATGAGCATATATTTGGAAATTCAATCCTTCTAATTGTTCTAGCTAGTAGTGATGATTTGGTATTGCTGCTTTTGGTTTGTTGTTTTGTTTTGCTTTGTTTTAGTAATGGACATCCTACCTACAATTTTCAGTATAACAGTTACAGCAAGTAAAGTGAATCAGGATAAGGTAAGCTTCTTATCTAGAAACTGTGAGGGCCCCAACTAATCACCAACCACTTTTGCTAAACCAACAAGTGACTTAATTTCTGTTTCCAAAGCCATAACTCTATGCTTTTATCAAACACTTTCTCTGACCTGCAGGAATGTGTTTATTTGGAGTTTATAAAGGAAATCTAGAAGGGAAACACTATTCATATAAGCATGACAAACCTCAGCTGATTTTAAACACCCAAATGCAAGAATAAAACAGAGTATCTTATATGTCTATAAACCAAGTCAGAATGCTTCCTCCAGAGAAAAGACACATACATTCCCAACCTAATACTGCTTGTTTTTAGAAATCCAAACTAAGGTCATATTAAGCCAGGTTAAGAGGAGGAGAAGGTAGCTGCCCTTCACAAGTTTATCCATTCAGAGAGGAAGAAGTCAAGGGGAAAATTGCTCTCCTCTGACTAATGCAGTATAATTGTTTCCTCATGATGGTGCCCCTCCATTTTTCTCCCTTCAAATGTTCCCATGGCTACAAAAGGACATGACATACACACACACACACACACACACATACATACATCTCTCTATATATTTTAAAAAGAATCACAAATCGCAGGGACATAAAATGGCTTCCTGTGGTTCATCTGAATTTGTCATTTTGCTTTTGAGATTTTCCTATTGGCCCACTGAACCCAGCACCTCATGTATAATGAATAATGTAAAGGGGGTATGGGGATGCCTATTTTAAGAGACCAAAAATGCCAGGTAACAACTTTAAGGCCATTACAATTTTATCCTACACACACACACACACACACACACTCACTAATAAGAAAGGAGTTCACTTAGAAGGATAATGCTCTAAGGATAAAACACATAGTACTGCTCTTTCTCACAACTCTTTAGATGACTTGAAGAGTAAAAATTATGTTTATTTGGACTATGCAGGGAATTTTAAATTGAATCAATAAATTCCAGAATGTCATCAATCAAGAAATTTTTTAAAAGAATTTTTTTAAAGAGAGGTAACATTAAGCTGAAACAGAAGGGCACATTTCTCCCTCCTCAATGTGATGTTTGTTCCTTTGCACTAAAGGGGAGTGAAAGTCATATGTTCCTAATGGGGAATCAGAAAATTGTTTTCTCAATGTCTGCTCATTTCAAAACCAGTACAATGCACACATATGAAGCTAATGAAACAAACAAGAATTAGACAAAAAAATGTGTCTAGCAGACAATCACTGCAGTTCATACAGATTGGACAAAATTTTGGAGATTTCATCTCCTAGTTTCCCTGCTGTTATGTAACTAGGAGGTTTTACTTCTTCTTGGACCTAAAGATATATCCTCATTCCCTTTTTTTCTATTTAATAAACTCAAATCCGTTACCTAGTAGCCTTTCTGCCAGCTTTGTTCATGCTGACTTGAACAGGGCAATCTGCTACATCAGATGCAAGCTGTGAGACACGTTTTCATTCCAATAGACTACAAAGCTGAAGGCAAGAACTTCATCAAAAATTGTAAAATGGAGATCAAACATATTTCTAATTTAACTACCTTAGAGTTGAGGAATGCTGTGTAATTACTGTCCATAAAAACTTGCACTGCATTCCACAGAGCAGCAAGCCCTCCCAGGTGTTCATGCACATGTCTTCATCGAGAGGCTACAAGTTTAATAGATTGAACTTTTAATGGATACATCAATTTAGGCTTCCCACAAAGCTATAGATTGAAATGGTATGTACCACATAACTGTGGCTAACACACTAAAATGGACAATAGCAACAATTTAGCAGATAGCATTTTAACAAAAGTAGCCTAGGGATTTTTGTTGGTTTGATTTTCTAAAAAAACATACTTGGTTCATGCTTGTATTCCATTTTATAAGCTCTACAACTTTGAACAGATACTGTCTAGATCCAAGCAGGTCACCTACCCAAATAATGAAAATACACTAAAAATGGAAGTCTCCAGGCCTAAAGCAATGGGCAATGAAGGCTCCGTGCAGCCTCTGCTGGCACTGTGCAACTGTCTCAGGATGCCACAAACCAGCGTCCCAGCTACCAGAGTCGGCAGGAGTCCATGCCTCTGTTCATCGTGGAATTGGGTGGACAGTTAAATGCTTTCTGGAATTCTTCAAAGTTACTAATTGCACCATTGACCCTGAAAAAAGGTATGTCAAAGCATATGTCATACAATTCTTGCACATCAACAGGTTCTGTATAAAACTATAGCAGAATATTGCTAAAAAGAATGTTGCCATTCTTTTAATCTATTTACAGGGAGACAACTAAAGCCCAAAATGATTAAGTAAATTTCCAAAAAAAAACGAACAGACTAGAGCCAGCATCTCCTGAATGCCAAGCAAATGCCCCATTACTCTTCCAACAGTCTTCAAATTCTTATAAAACTGTATTGTCACCAATATTAGTTTTTCTAACTTTTTAAAAACTTTATGGAAAATATAACTGACATAAAGTATACAAAATATTACTTGTAGAACTTGACAGTTTTTTGTGTGTATGTGCCCGTATTACTACCTGCCAGATCAAGACATTCCAGCACCCAGTAGGCTCCCGCCTGTTCCATACCAACAGCGTCTCCAAAGATAACTACTATTCTGACTTCTATTGCCATAGCTTTGCCTTTGAAGATTTTGAACTTCATGTGAATGAAATCCACGGTATGTACTGTTTGGTCTTTGACTTCTTTCACTGAATATAATGTCTGTAAGAGTCATCCATGTTGTTGCATTTGCCGCTATTTTTAAAGAATTCATTCAATCTACAAAAACATTTTCTCTGAATTAGTGTTAGGTATGGAAGCTCATAGTTGCCCAGAATTTGATTAATGCAACAATCAATTAATGAATGGTATCTAGTTATTACTGATGAGTAATTCTTCACTGGAGTTAGCTCCAATATAGCACATTCTTATAGGCTTCCAACTACAGTAAAGACTGGATTCCTACTCAGTACTTTGATTGTAGCTGTCTTTTGGAAGTGATATTGCCGTTGTGTGATTTCTGCTGCACTCAAAATCTACAGTTACTGCAGACCTCAGTAACAAGCCAGCACACACACAAAAAAACTTCCCCCTTTCATCTACTTCTTACTCAACTCCATGTTCAAAGGGTTGACTAGAGACTCAGCATTCTCAGTCACTATTTCTTCCCTAATGACTTTGTTACCTACGGGCATTTGAATAAATGTAATGCACTATATCCAAAAAATCCTCATAACTGCTTGTGTTTTAGCTGAATATATGGGTAGGGATGCATATTTCACAGTGTGATTCACCCTAGGCAAGTGTTAAAGATAGAATATAGCTGATAATTAGTAAGCATACACTGTAAAATTCAACATTACAGGCAACTAGTTAAAGGAAATAAGTTTCTGAAAACTTGTATCTGTTGAGTAATTAATCTACTGTGTGGTTTCATCTGCACCATTTGTCAGTGGGAATACATTTTAGTACATTGGAGACCGTCAGCCTTCATGACAGTTTAGCCCAGTGGCGGAGAAATTTCCAACACAGTGATTAGATTTTTATGCTAGTGGGTAATTTATAATAAATTTCTGAAGCATTTCTAAGGCAAGATCTTAGGAATAAGATTTTAAAATATAGAAGAAATTTCAGATAGCTTTCTTGTAATATGCTAATGGATTCATTTAAACATTAAATATAAAGATATCCAGATATAATGTCCTAAACAAAGAATGAATACATATACATTATTATGGTTTTTGCATTTCTCATCATACTTATCTTTCCCCTACTACAGAAAATTTCTGTCAACCTATAGGACCGAGTACAGGGTGACTACAGAAAATTTCTGTCAACCTATAGGACCGAGTACAGGGTGAGTAATATTAACTTTAATTTTATTTGTACTTAATGTTTTATACATTCTGACAAATAAGACTGTAATTCATAATCCTCTTCCCTTTTTGTATAAGCTACTGTTTCAAAATATGATCCAAAGTGCAAGCCACAATGTAGACTCTAACTCTAGATATAAATTATAATTGCTAAATAATACTATGTATCCTCCTTTGTGTTCAGAGCTATTTAGAAAGTGGCCATTCATTCATGTTTGCTGTTTGACTGTGTGAAAGAAGAAGAGGTATTAAAGGGGATATTCTTTACAACAAAATAAACCAGAGCTCTAGGTGTTTTAAGGCAGAGTACATCAAATCTCATCCTTGCCTAAGACAATAAAGGCTATTTTTTTGGATCAAAACAGTAAGCAGTTGAGTAAGTCCAATAATGCAGTTTACTGAGACTCTTTCAAAAACTGGAAGATAATGTGATGTAATACTAAAGCTATGATTTGGATTCCAAATTACCTCTGGAGTCTTGTATAGTCTCATTGGCACTTAATGCAGCACTAGACTAGAGATATGTACAAGTACCCACCAGCAGAAATTCAGGTGAGAGAGTGCTGACTAAACCAGCTTACTACTAATGAAAGAAGATACTTAGTTTCTGTGTGGCCAGATATTTTTTGGCTGCAAAATGGAAATCATACAGTTCACAATATGCGATTTTTTTCAGATCACCTATCTGGTAGAGCCCTTGGATGGCTGGGTGGGGGAGAAAGCGGGGAGATGCACTGTTAAAAACTGCCGTCACCCCTTTGCCCATTTACCTAAACTGCGGGGGACTGTGAGCACCAATTTGGACTTGTTCTCGGGCAGCTTCTGGTCTGTAGGAATTGCACCTCACCTAGAAGAGAAAAGCATCCCAACAAATGAGCTTTCATTCCAATTATGTATTTTCTACTGTCTTAAATGCTCCAAATTATACTGAAGAATAATTTTAGAATCAATGGATGACAAACAGTTTTAGTAGATCAAATAAAACCGTCATTGGTAATAACATCTATTATTCTGATCCCCAGAGTAGAAGATTTTATCAATGTGTGAATAATTTCACAATTTGAGTAAGTGAGAAAGGTTTTCAGACAAGTGCTTTAAATCAAGAGAATCGTATATGTGGCCAGGAATCCACTAGTGTATTCATTCAATGAATTTAATGTTTGAAATAATCCTTCTCAAATTTAACCATACTCATTCAAATCAATAAAATGAATCAGCCACCCATTATTGAGGATGGTGATGAGAAGTTAGTAGTCTGCCCCTGAGTGCCTTGCTCGCTTCACCCTAGTCTGGGCCTAGGATTGATGTACACTTCTCCATCTCCTTTGAAGTTGGGCATGGCGATATGGCTTGTTCTGGCCAATGAAGTGTGAGCGGAAGCAGAAGTAATATATGTTACTTCCTGGCAGAAGCTTTAAAACCTGACAGAAGTTTTAAGAGCCTTAAGAACAATTTAAGATGCTACACTAACAGCCAGTGCACATATCCTCATCTTTCTTTTTTACTCCTGTGTTATCCACAGAAGCACATGCCAAGATATAGACTCTAAAACCCAAGTTTTGTGTTTGTTTGTTTGTTTGTTTTGACATGGAGTCTGGCTCTGTCACCCAGGCTGGAGTGCAATGGCACAATCTTGGCTCACTGCAACCTCCACCTCCTGGTTTCAAGCGATTCTCCTGCCTCAGCCTCCCAAGTAGCTGGGATTACAGGTGCACACCACCAAGCCCAGCTAATTTTTGTATTTTTTTTATTATACTTTAAATTCTGGGGTACATGTGCAGAACGTGCAGGTTTGTTACATACGTATACATGTGCCATGGTGATTTGCTGCACCCATCAACCCGTCCTCTACATTAAGTATTTCTCCTAATGCTATCCCTCCCCTAGTCTCCCACCCCCTGACAGGCCCTGGTGTGTGATGTTCCCCTCCTTGGGTCCATGTGTTCTCATTGTTCAACTCCCATTTATGAGTGAGAACATGTGGTGTTTGGTTTTCTGTTCTTGTGTTAGTTTGCTGAGAATGATGGCTTCCAGCTTCATCCATGTCCCTGCAAAGAACATGAGCTCATTCTTCTACATGGCTGCATAGTATTCCATGGTGTGTATGTGTCACATTTTCTTTATCCAGTCTATCACTGATGGGCATTTGGATTGGTTCCTAGTCTTTGCTATTGTGAACAGTGCCGCAATAAACACACGTGTGCATGGCATCTTTATAGTAGAATGATTTACAATCCTTTGGGCATATACCCAGTAATGGGATTGCTGGGTCAAATGGGATTGCTGGTTCTAGATCCTTGAGGAATTGCCATACTGTCTTCCACAATGGTTGAACTAATTTACACTCCCACCAACAGTGTAAAAGTGTTCATATTTCTCCACATCCTCTCCAGCATGTAGTTTCCTGACTTTTTAATGATCGTCATTCTAACTGGCATGAGATGGTATCTCGTTGTGGTTTATCATTTGAATTTCTCTAATGACCAGTGATAATGAGCATTTTTCATATGTTTCTTGGCTGCATAAATGACTTATTTTAAGAAGTGTCTGTTCATATCCTTCACTCACTTTTTGATGGGGTTTTTTTTTTTTTTCTTGTAAATTTGTGTAAGTTCTTTGTAGATTCTGGGTATTAGCCCTTTCTCAGATGGGTAGATTACAAAAACTCTCTCCCATTCTCTAGGTTGCCTGTTCACTCTGAAGATAGTTTCTTTTGCTGTGCAGAAGTTCTTTAATTAGACTCTATTTGTCAATTTTGGCTTTTGGTGTTTTAGACATAAAGTCCTTGCCCATGCCTATGTCCTGAATGGTATTGCCCAGGTTTTCTTCTAGGATTTTTATGGTGCTAGGTCTAACGTTTAAGTCTTTGATTCATCTTGAGTTGATTTTTTTTTTGTATAAGGTGTAAGGAAGGGGTCCAGTTGCAGTTTTCTGCATATGGCTAGCCAGTTTTCCCAACACCATTTATTAAATACGGAATATTTTCCACATTGCTTATGTGTGTCAGGCTTGTCAAAGATCAGATGGTGGTAGATGTGTGGTGTTATTTCTGAGGCCTCCGTTCTGTTCCCTTGGTCTATATATCTGTTTTGGTAGCAGTACCATGCTGTTTTGGTTACTGTAGCCTTGCAGTAAAGTTTAAAGTCAGGTAGGGCCGGGCGCGGTGGCTCAAGCCTGTAATCCCAGCACTTTGGGAGGCCGAGACGGGCGGATCACAAGGTCAGGAGATCGAGACCATCCTGGCTAACACAGTGAAACCCCGTTTCTACTAAAAAATACAAAAAACTAGCCGGGCGAGGTGGCGGGCGCCTGTAGTCCCAGCTACCCGGGAGGCTGAGGCAGGAGAATGGCGTGAACCCGGGAGGCGGAGCTTGCAGTGAGCTGAGATCCAGCCACTGCACTCCAGCCTGGGTGACAGAGCGAGACTCTGCCTCAATAAAAAAAAAAAAAAAAAAAAAAGGTAGCGTGATGCCTCAGAGGTAGCGTGATGCCTCCAGCTTTGTTCTTTTTGCTTAGGATTGTCTTGGTTATATGGGCCCTTTTTGGTTCCCTATGAAGTTTAACATAGTTTTTTCCAATTCTGTGAAGAAAGTCAATGGTAGCTTGATGGGGATAGCATTGAATCTCTAAATTACATTGGGCAGTATGGCCATTTTCACAATATTGATTCTTCCTATCCGTGAGCATGGAATGTTTTTCCATTTGTTTGTGTTCTCTCTTATTTCCTTGAGCAGTGGTTTGTAGTTCTGCTTGAAGAGGTCCTTCACATCCCTTGTAAGTTGTATTCCTAGGTATTTTATTCTATTAGTGGCAATTGTGAATGGGAGTTCACTCATGATTTGGCTCTGTTTGTCTGTTATTGGTGTACAGGAATGCTTGTGATTTTTGCACATTGATTTAGTATCCTGAGACTTTGCTGAAGTTGCTTATCAGCTTAAGGAGATTTTGGGCTGAGACGATGGGGTTTTCTTAATAATCATGTCGTCTGCAAACAGAGACAATTTGACTTCCTCTCTTGCTATCTGAATACCCTTTATTTCTTTCTCTTGCCTGATTGCCCTGGCCAGAACTTCCAACACTATGTTGAATAGGAGTGGTGAGAGAGGGCATCCGTGTCTGATGCCGGTTTTCAAAGGGAATGCTTCCAGTTTTTGCCCATTCAGTATGATATTGGCTGTGAGTTTGTCATAAATAGCTCTTATTATTTTGAGATACGTTCCATCAATACCTAGTTTATTGAGAGTTTTTAGCATCAAGGGGTGTTGAATTTTGTCGAATGCCTTTTCTGCATCTATTCAGATAATCGTGTGGTTTTTGTCATTGGTTCTGTGTATGTGATGGATTGTATTTATTGATTTGCATATGCTAAACCAGTCTTGCATCCCAGGTATGAAGCCAACATAAGCTTTTTGATGTGCTGCTGGATTTGGTTTGCCAGTATTTTGTTGAGTATTTTCGCATCGATGTTCATCAGGGATACTGACCTAAAATTTTCTTTTTTTGTTGTGCCTCTGCCAGATTTTGGTATCAGCATGATGCTGGCCTCATGAAATGAGTTAGGAAGGATTCCCTCTCTTTCTGTTGTTTGGAACAGTTTCAGAAGGAATGGTACCAGCTCCTCTTTGTACCTCTGGTAGAATTCGGCTGTGAATCTGTCTCATCCTGGACTTTTTTTGGTTGGTAGGCTATTAATTGCTGCCTCAATTTCAGAGCCTATTATTGGTCTATTCAGGGACTCAACTTCTTCCTGGTTTAGTCTTGGGAGGGTGTATGTGTCCAGGAATTTATCCATTTCTTCTAGATTTTCTAGGTTATTTGGATAGAGGTGTTTATAGTATTCTCTGATGGTAGTGTGTATTTCTGTGGGATCAGTGGTGATATCCCCTTTATCAATCATTTTTTATTGCATCTATTTGATTCTTCTCTCTTTTATTCTTTATTAGTCTGGCTAGTAGTCTATTTTGTTGATCTTTTTGAAAAA